GGAGGAGGAAGAGGAGGAGGAGGAGGAGGAGGAGGAGGAGGAGGAGGGGCGAGTGTGGAGAGGGCGGGGGGGGGGAGGAGTAGGAGTGAGAAAGGAGGGGGTGGAGAAGGAGAGGGATGGGGGGGGGAGGCGGGGGAGGGACAGGAGGGGAGGGGGATAGAACGTTCCCCTGACACGCCGACGAAGCCCCAGCAGCTCTGGACACTTTTTTCTTGTTGGTAGCTTCCTGAATGCTTGGGGGGCCCCAGACACCCAGGAAATCTCTGATCGTCGAACTTAGAATCTAGATCCATTGCCTGTCTCTCTCGATCGAGGAACTTCAACCTCGAGCCTCAAGCTTGGAACCAAGATCGTCGGGCCAGCCTGATGTTCTTCATAGGAAGACGCCGCCTTGGCGTTTTTTGGGGCTCTTTTGGGCCGTCTTGGGGCCCTCGTGGGCCGTCTTGGGGCTTTTTTTTGCCGCCTTGGGGAGCTGGGGCCCCCCAGAGGTCATCCGAAACCATCTAGGACCTTCTTGGGGGCCTCCAGTGGCCTTCTTGGGGGTCTCCCATGGCTTTCGTGGGTCTTTCTTGGGAGCCTTCTGGTGGCATCTTGGGCTTCTTGCGGGCAGTCTCGGCGCTTTCTGGGGCAGTCTTGGGGGCATCTTGGGCCGTCTTCGAACCCCCTAGGGAGCCTCTTGGGCAGTCTTAGGGCGCTATCGGGGGCCCATCGGGCCGTCTTGGACGCTGCGAAGTCCCAAACAGCGGATATGTAAAACTTCTACATTTTTCCGAAGGAGATGAGGCGATTTTTGCTTCTGTGGGGTTCTCATCGTAGCCTCGTGGGGCGTCTTGGGGGCTTATTTGGGCCGTCTTAACACCATCGAGGTCTCTCTTGCGCCTCTCCGATGACCCGTCTGATCGCTTTGAGTCTGTTCGCAAGACCCGGCAAGGCGCATTGGGAGGTCTGGACGGGCCAGCGGACCTTTCCAAGGGCGTCCAGAGGGCCGCTGAGACGTCCGAAAGGGCGTCCAGGGCGTCTCGGGGGGGGGGGGTCCAGTTTAGGGGGTGGTGGTGGTGGGGGGTCTGGGTAATAAGGATATAAGTTTCGGAATCAGTGTATATATATTATATGTATATGTAGATGTAGATGTATATGTATGTATGTCTGTATGCATATATATACACACGTACACGAGCCAATCCACAACTTGCGTCCCTATCCACACATATATATAGACGTGCGTATGTATGTATGTATGTATGTATGTTTGTATGTATGTATGTATGTATGTATGTATGTATGTATGTATATATATATATATATGTACGTACGCAATGCACCTGTCAGCCACCGTGGACACCAACCGTGTTTCTCACAATCAACGATGTGCAGTCTATGTAGAATGATCTTTGTTCTCCTAAAATATCACCCGGGGGGCCCGCGGACCCCTGGGATCCGTTGCCCCGGGCGCCCTTGGACGTCCTTGCAGAAGGCCCCCCCTGTCTTTCCAGAGCTCCTAGAAGCCCCTGCTGGGCTTAGGCAATGGGCACGCATTGGTCACGAGGGCGGCCGAACGGCGCCCCGAAGGCCCCAACAGGCCCCTGACAACCACCAGACGCCCAAAGACGACCACAAGAAGACACCCGAGAGGTTGCTGAAACGGAAAAGCATTGATTTCCATTGGTTTTCGACGTGTGTGTTTGAGACTTTTCTGTTCTTCGGTCTTCAGGCGTCCAAGACCGTCCAGGAGGCCCGAGCATCGCCCCACAAGCACCCGAAAAGGCTTCCAGGCAGTCTAGGAGAGCCGCAAGACGGCCGAACAGGGTCCTAATAGGGCCCGAGGACAGCCCCATGACGGCCCAAGATGGCCCCACGATGCCCGCAGACGCATTCCAAACCATGACCCGTTTGTTCAGGGAAACCGCGGCTGGAAGCAGGTTGGCCCGAGGAAACCCGCAGAGGCGCCCAGACGGCGCCCAGGAAACTCCCAGAAAGCCCCAAACATCCCTTTTAAAAGTTTCGTGAGGCCTCCAAGCGGCTCTCCAGTCAGGAACCCCTGCAAAAACAAGTGGAGGATGGAGAAGAATTCGCAGGCTAGGGCGAGAATGGGGAAACGGAAGAGGAAACACGAGGGAATTATCATACGATATCAGATCAACGATGTCGGAAAACAAACAAGACGGACTTATCGCTGAATTCTGAGTTTGCTTTCCTGCCCTTCCGCCTGCATGCGAACCTTTGAGGGCCATGGTGCGTGGCTCGACGCGCCACTGCATTCTTAGTTGTTTGTATATATAGATATGTGAATATATTGGGCAACCGTTGTGTGCCTTATCTCGTGCAAGATCTTCGTTGCAATCTATATGGTGCAACAGTTGTGGTGTAATCGATGCGGCGTCATCTACGGTGTACAATGTATGTCGTGTGATCCTTTGTGTGCAATGTGTGTGTGTGTGTGTGGTGCAGTTCATGTTGGGCAGTCGATGGTGGACACTCTAGGTGGTGCAGTATACATATATTTATATTTATATACACGCATCTATATACACATGTTGTGATCTATGTTGTGCAACTACGTGGTGCAACAGATGGTGTGCAACCTATGTGGTGCGACCTATGTGCTGCAACTACCCTTTCCGAACTTGAAATTGTCAAGTCCACCTTCCGTCCAACTCATCCGCAACTTGGTTTGCAAAACTCGTGCGGCGGCGATTGCGATGACTGCTCGGCGCTGGCTGGCACATCGCCGCGGTCGCGATAGCGCGCATGCTCGCGCGCAAAGTGGCCAGGCAGTTTGGCGCGACCGACGCGGTCGCGGTGGCGCTGACCGTTGGGCACTTCCCGCGGGCACTTCAGTGCGAATCGGCGACTTGGGCGGGCGCAGTATCATGGCAACGCCGACAACGGTAGACGCGATGATGATGGCAGCGATGCTGGTGACGATAATGACATAGACGACGGCACGGCCAGTGACGGTGCCGATGCGGATCATGCCGACGACGATAGTGGCGTCTCCGCGTCGGTTTCGACGGTTTTGGTAGGAGTTCGACATGCGCGCGCGGCCGACGCGCGAGAGTGGCCCGCATGGTAATGTTTGACACGGACCGTGCCCCCCCTTTGACGCGGGCGTGGACGTTCGAAGGATTTCGACTTGCGGCGCGGGAGGCCCGTTTGGCGGAATTTAATGAACATGCTGAGAGACAGTGGTACTCTCAAGCAAGTTTGGAAGACCGCGAGTGCAGTTTTATCGTTTGGAACGGATGTGCCACAACATTTTGGAGTGTTTCCCGGGCGCTCGATTTTTTTACACACGTACGAAACGTAAGATGTTTGAAGGATTCGGGCATGCGCGCGCGACGACGCGCGCGCGCGTGCATGTCGCTCCGTTTTTGTGCAACGGATTCTTGCGTCAGCGCGCGCGCAACTGCGTTTTTGCGATTCCGACATGCGTTCGCGACAGGCCCTTGGTATGGACATGTTGAAACACAGGTGGTTTTCTTAATCTCCCGCAAGAGCCCGAACGCATTGTTGGAGGAAAATCTGAGTTGGACAACCATTTTTTGAAATGGTTTGCGGGACTTGAAATCTTTACGAAACCTAAGGTTTTTTTCAGAGATTTCGGCACTCGCGCGCGACAGCCCGCGCGTGTGTGCACTTCGTCTCAGTTTTTCGCAAGGGGTTCTTGCGCACGGATGTTTTTTGATGAGCGAGTGTGCGCGCATAGATTTTGTTGCACAGGATGGGCGATGAATGCCTGCCTGAGGTGGTGAGGGTTTCAACTTCGGATGAACGATGGGGCAGAGTCAGATAGAAATTGCAATGCGGAGAGGGGGCCGTTCAGTCAGGGGGTGGGCACAGATCCCATTATTATTATCATTACTATTATTGTTATTTCTACGATTATTACCATTATTATTATTACTATATGCTTGAGAAGACTTGCGGTGCCAGGTACGCGGTTTATTTTTCTGGGGCAGTCCAAGTGGCGGTGCAATCGATGCGAGGCGGCGACGGGGCGGTGACACGGGCGACGGGGTGGCGACGGCGAACACGGAGCCGACAGACCGACCGTCAGGGCCAGGCGACGGGCAGCGACGTCGCGGCGACGGGGTTGCGATGGCGGCCACATCGCCGGCATATAGGTTTTTAGCACCAGACGGCGTGCGGCCCCGAAACGGCGACGGGGCGGGGACGGCGGCCAAATAGCCGCCAGACCGACTTTCAGGTCCAGTTTCTTAGAATAAGTAATACGCACTAAGTGCAAACACTGCGTGGGAAAACTTGTCTATATGTATACGTACATGTGCGAGTACACAGAGCGAGAGGGATGGCGGGATATACACATATATATATATATATATTTATATATGTATATATATATATATATATATATATATATATATATATGCTCGCCCCCCCCCCAGCGCACCCCAACGACCATCTTTCTCTTCCTCCTCCTGGTTCCCTCACGCTCCTCCCCTCGTCAGGCTCAGCATGTTCGATGGCGATTGTTCGAGAAGGCACCTGAGGCCTCTTGGATGTTCGTTGGGATATGGTGGGAGGCATCTCGGGGATCTGTTGAAAACAGTTTTGAAGCCTCTTAGGGGCAGTCTGGGGGCCTCTGGGGGCCTCTTGGGCGCCTGTTGGGCGCCTCTTGAGCTTCTTGGAGGCCTCTTGGATCCTCCTGGAGTTGATGATGACGAGTGCGATGATGATGATGATGATGATGATGATGATGATGATGATGGTGATGGTGATGATGATGATGATGACGATGATGGGGCTAAGGACGACGATGATGATGATGATGCTGGGGATGGTTCTGATGACGATTGCGATTAAGATGATGGCGATGGCAACGATGACAATTGCAATGATGATGATTTTGATGATGACGAACACTATATTTCATCAGCGTCCTCACGCTCACTTTCATCATGTGGTTAACGTATTGTGCTCAAGCCGTTGCCAAGCATACGCTAACGTATTTGTCTTTTTTGTTGCTGTTGTTTTTTAACATGCCATCCTTGTGCATCAATCTGGATTGCAAGTTCGGCGCGATCAACAAACAGGGCGAAACAAACCCTAAGTCGCTCGTCCTCTTCAGGCTTCGCCCAGAGAAAACAGTGCGGAGGGCGCCAGGCCCAGGCCCGATCCGCAAGCGCAACTGGGCCCCGCTGGCCAAGCAGTGGCTCAAACAACGCAAAGTCATACTCCACACAGGCGGCGCCCGCTCCTACAAGCTGCGCGTTGACGTCGTGGTCCACGACTGGGTCGTCCACATGAAGAAGCGCGTGAAGGCCGCTGGTGTTTGTGTTTGGGTGGGTGGGTGGAGGAGGGGAAGGTGGCCGTCCCTCGCCGACGCCGGTTGCGGCGGTGCCCTTTTCTGCCGCAGAGTCAATTGGCTCGACCACTTGACCAGAGGTACGATGTGGGCATTGTCAGAGTCGGCGCAGGCAAAGGACAGTCGGCCCCTTTGCCGCTCCTCGCAGGTGAACGGCAAGTACGCGTGGGTCAAGCCAGCCTTCACGAAGGTCAGGTATCACGACATTGCAGACAATGGATGCTCCAACAAGAAGAAGCGCATCTGGGTGAAGTGCGGGACCCAGATCATTGACCGCGTCTGGGGCGGGTTGAGGCGCCACCTTGGCCCCAACCGCAAGGTGAACTCCCGCGCGCTGGCAAACAAGGTGAGGTCCTTCCAGTGGTGCTACTTGAACAAGGGCGAGGACCTGTGGGCGCAGACGGGCAATATGCTTACCGCTCTGTTCCAGCAGCAGCACGAGTGAGCGAGCCCATCTGCCGCTGCAGAGGCACTGCATACCTCCGTCTCAAATGCCACCTACCCTGGCCCCGCACTGCTTCCCGCGCGGCGAAATGTTGGGCCAGCGCAGCGAGAGTGCCCAAGCGATATGTGTGCGGACGTGCATATTGGTTCTGAGGTTCGAGAAAAACTACGTAGTCTGCCCGCATGGAAAGTCCGCCCGCAAGGGTATGATCAGGAGCAGCCGTCGCCGTCGTCGCGTCGTCGTCGTTGATTCAGCCCCCGCCCCCCTGCGGTTACCCCCGCCCCCGCTGTGTCCTGCCGCCGCTATTGATCAGGCTTGCACAGGGTGTCCGAATACATTCGCACGCGCACAAGCCCCTGGTATATCTCTGCTCATGACCAACCTCCCCGCCCTCGGAATGAAGACCCTGAGGGCGCACTTGGAGGTCGAGGGGGCGGACAGCGAGAAGATCCAGCAGGTATTCGAAAAGGTCCGCGGCCACGGCTCGGCCGTCCCGATGTACCAGACGGCGTTGCACCCAGAGGAATTCCAGGGCGATCCCCCAGCTCTCTACTCTGTAGGGGATCTCCCCCTCATGCCGTCTGAAGGTTGCAAGAAGATGAAGCGTGCCTTTGCCGTTGTCTTGAACTACCAGGGGGACATCGACATGGCCGCGGTGCGGGAGGCCATGGCGGTCAACGACTACAATGGTCTGCCAGAGCTATTGCGCCCCAGAACAAACTGGGAAGCCCTTTACACGATGCAGTTGGCACTGGTGCCCGCTGGCGACGGCGACGGGACAGACATCATCAAGTGCTTTCTGTTCTCGGGCCCGCAGCCGTTGGTCGACGTCGAGAACCGCCTCCTGCGTGATAATGAAGTGTTGTACACGCTATCTTGGGGCAAGGGAGCGGACGTCAAGACGCCGTGGAAAGTCTTGGTCTACATGATGGATCGGCTCGGTGGCACGCGCTTCCGTTACCACCTACCCCCGCAGGAGAAGGGCGAAAAGGAGGAAGAAGAAGTGCCTGCCCCAGGACATGATCGTATCCCAGTACCAGTTCATTAAGGACAACGCCCCGCGCGACAACTTCGATTGCGAACAGATGATGTGGATCGACTTCCAGCTGAACGACCCGCAGAGCCCCATCCACAGCTGGAAAGAGGGGAAGATTAAGGAGGTTCTCTCGCACATTAAGGACCAGAGCATTCAGGCGAAAAAGATCACGTACCACCCCATCTTCATCTTCGACACAGGGGGCGAGGGCGTCGAGCGCGCGAAGCGCATCGTGCCTACTTTCAAGAGCCACTCCTGCCTCATGGTCGGCGAGCCTGGCGAGGGGGAGACGCCGTGCCTGGAGACGCTGGCATTCGCCATGGGCGACTACTACGCAGACAAGCTGGGGGGCCGCGGCTTGGCCTCGTTCAGAGAGGGGCCAGACCTGGATTTCTTCAGGGCCGAAGAGGGCACGAAGCACTGCCCGTGCGTCTTTGATGACGGCGACTTGTTCGAGCAGCGCCCGAAGGCGTTGAAGGCTTTCTTGGACGTCGGCCAGTTCCAGGCGATGGCGAGGGAGCGGTGGGGGGCTGCCAAGTTCGTTCGGGGCCAGGCGCGCTTCGCCGCGGAGAACATGTACGACGAGACGGCTGTCCCCACCATGGACGCGTGGCGCGGTCTGTGCATCTTGTCGCCAGCTGAGGCCAAGCAGAAGCGAAACCAGTACTTCTTCGACATGCTCAAGCGCAAGTTCCCCAAGGACATGTCCAAAGCGAACGTCATGGCCCTCTTGAAGCGGTCCTCCGCGGTCGTGAACGCCCCCAATGACGTGTTCGAGCGCTTGGCGGGTTTGGACTCGGACGTGACGAGGGCCCCGAAGGTTGGCCACTACATTACCAAGGCAGCGGGGAATATTCTCTACGACTACATCCACAACGGCGCGACGCGGGACGCCGAGGAATACAACTCGCTGAGGGACAAGCAGCTCCGCTTCATGAAGGCGCTGCTGGACAAGGGTTCCGTGCCCCTGTCTCTCTCGGTCATGGAGGAGCAGCCGCCTGACGGCGCCGAGGGCGGCAGTAGTTCGTCGGCGGCCCGCGAGCCCCTCCCGCCCTTGCCCAAGCGCATCTGCTGGGCGAGGTCGTTCGGGAGCATCCCGGAGGTCGAGATCGACCTCTCGAGCTCGCCCGAAGAGGCCCGCGGCGCCGCCGCCGCGCCCAGTAGCCAGGACCTCGCCGCTGCGCTCGCCTATTCAGACAACGGCGATCCGCTCGGCCTGGGCGGCGGAATGAATGCCGATGCGTCGGAATGAGCGGGCGGCCGCTTCGGCGGGGGGCAGCCAGCGGCCAACGCTGCCCCTCGATAGTATAAATGCTGATCGATTGTACACTGGCTGCCCCGACTATGCCAAAGACGAGGGAGTCACAGCAGCAACCACAAACGCTACCTTCCAGAACACGTTGTCGCCACGTCGCCGTCACCCTCGTATTCTTTGTGAACTTGTTCTTCCTTTCCTCACCGTTTGCTGCCCACGTCTCCCGATCGGCTGAGCAAGGTCTGCTGCCCAAAGCTAGACACAGAGGGTCCATAAGGCGTTGGTAAGGACACCTTGTGAAAACACAAGTCCCGTCCATGCTGCGGCCGCTGTCGTGAGGAAGCCTTGTGACACACGCACGCGCGCACGCGCGCACGCACACACGCACGCACGCACATACGCACATACACACGCACGCACGCACGCACACACACACACGCGCCTGATCGTTTTAATCGTTTTCGTAAGGGAACTCTTATGAAAACGCCGGTATTCTTGATCTGTTTGAAGTTTTTGACAAGAAAACCACATAAAAACACATATATTCTTGATATTTTTGATGGTTTTCATAAGGAAACCAGGTGAAAACACAGCTATTCCTGATATTTTTAATGGTTTTCGTTAGGAAACCCGGTGAAAACACAGATATTCCTGATATTTTGTGGTTTTCTGGAGACGGGCGCCCCTCTTCCTCTTGCGCCACCAGCCTTTGCAGCGCGCCCGTATCAAGAAAACCACAACATATCAGGATTTTTTTTTTTTTTTTTTTTTTTTTTTTTTTTTTTTTTTTTTTTTTTTTTTTTTTTTTTTTTTTTTTTTTTTTTTTCCACAGGTTTTCCTAACGAAAACCACCAACAACATCAGGAATATCTGTGTTTTCATACAGTTTCCTTACAGAAACCAGAAAATATCAATGCTATTTGTGTTTTCACAGGGTTTCTGTGCGACAACCTTTCAACATATTACGAATAGTTGTGTTTTCGCAGGTGTTCCTGCCTGGCGCATTGTCCCTGGGGGGCGTGGACCTGGGGAGGGAGCAGGGGGAGGGGCGCCCTTTTCCAGAAAACCAGCACATATCAGGAATATCTGTGTTTTCACAGGGTTTCCTAACGAAAACCATCAAAAATATCAGGAATATCTTTGTTTTCACATGGTTTCCTTGCCAACACATTCAAGCATATCAGGCATATTTGTGTTTTCATATGGTTTCCTCAGAGAGCAGCCCCTTTTGTAAGGCTTCTCATAAGGAGGAGGAGGAGGAGGAGCAGCAGGAGGAGGATGAGAGGAGGAGGAGAAAGAAACGAGAGGAAACAGAGGAAGAAGCAGAGACGCAGGAGGAGGGAAAGGAGGAAGAGGAGGAGGAGGAGGATGAGCAGCAGCAGGAGCAAACGATCAATGATGGATTTGTGGTCGTGGGTGGTTTGGGGTGCGCTGGGGGGGGGACCATATATATGTATTTGTATTTGTATGTGTATTTGTATTTGTATTTGTAGTTGTATTTGTATTTGTATGTGTAGTTGTAGTTGTAGTTGTAGTTGTAGTTGTATTTGTATTGTATTGTATGTATGTATGTATGTATGTATGTATATATGTATATATGAAGGGAGAGGAGACATACATCTGATGGAAAGGAGGGGTAAGGACCAGGAGGAGGAGGAGGAGGAGAAAAAGGATGAGGAATCGGAAATGGTGGAGGAGGAGGTGAAGGAAGAGGAGGAGGAGGAGGAGGAGCAGAAGGAGGGGGAGGAGGAAAAGGAGGAAAAATATGAGGAACAGGAAAAGGTGGTGGAGGAGGAGGAGGAGGAGGAGGAGGAGGGGCGAGTGTGGAGAGGGCGGGGGGGGGGAGGAGTAGGAGTGAGAAAGGAGGGGGTGGAGAAGGAGAGGGATGGGGGGGGAGGCGGGGAAGGGACAGGAGGGGAGGGGGATATAACGTTTCCATGACACGCCGACGAAGCCCCAGCAGCTCCGGACAATTTTTTTCTTGTTGGTAGCTTCCTGAATGCTTGGGGGGCCCCAGACACCCAGGAAATGTCTGATCGTCGAACTTAGAATCTAGATCCATTGCCTGTCTCTCTCGATCGAGGAACTTCAGCCTCGAACCTCAAGCTTGGAACCAAGATCGTCGGGCCAGCCTGATGTACTTCGTAGGAAGATGTACTTCGTAGGAAGACGCCGCCTTGGCGTTTTTTTGGGCTCTTTTGGGGCCCCCCCCCCCCCCCCCGCCCCCCCCCCCCACCCCCCCCAACAACCCCCCCCCCCCCCCCCAAAAAACCCGCCCCCCACCGCCCAAAAAAAAAAAAAAAAAAAAAACCACACACACCCCCAAACCCCCGCCCCAAAACCCCCCCCCCCCGCCCCCCCCGCCGCTCCCAAACCCCTCCCGTCCTGGGGCCCTCTTGGGCCGTCCCGGGGCCTTCTTGGGCCGTCTTGGGGAGCTGGGGCCCTCCATAAGTCTTCTGAAACCATCTAGGGCCCTCTTGGGGGCCTCCAGTGGCCTTCTTGGGGGTCTCCCATGGCTTTCGTGGGCCTCTCTTGGGAGCCTTCTGGGGGCAACTTGGGCTTCTTGCGGGCAGTCTCGGGGCTCTCGGGGGCAGTCGTGGAGCCATCGTGGGCCGTCTTCAAACCCTCTGGGGGACATCTTGGGCCGTCTTGGGGCGATATCGGGGGACCATCGGGCCGTCTTGGACGCTGCGAAGTCCTAAACAGCGGATATGTTAAACTTATACCTTTTTTCCCGAGGGAATGAGCGATTCTTGCTTCTTCGGGGCTCTCTTGACAGTCTCGTGGGGCGTCTTGGAGGCCTTTTGGGCCGTCTTCAGACCATCGAGGTTCCTCTTGCGCCTCTCCGAATGACCCGTCTGATCGCCTTGAGTCTGTTCGCAAGACCCGGCAAGGCGCATTGGGAGGTCTGGAAGGGCCAGCGGACCTTTCCAAGGGCGTCCAGGGGGCCGCTGAGACGTCCGAACGGGCGTCCAGGGCGTCTCGGGGGGGGGGGGTCCAGTTTAGGGGGTGGTGGTGGTGGGGGGTCCGGGTAATAAGGATATAAGTTTCGGAATCAGTGTATATATATATATATATATATATATGTGTATGTTTTATATGTATATGTATGTATGTATGTATGTATGTATGTATGTATGTATGTATATATGTATTTATGTGTATATATACACACGTACACGAGCCAATCCACAACTTGCGTCCCTATCCACACATATATATAGACGTGCGTATGTATGTATGTATGTATGTATGTATGTATGTATGTATGTATGTATGTATGTATGTATGTATGTATATATACATATATATATATATGTGTACGTACGCAATGCACCTGTCAGCCACCGTGGACACCAACCGTGTTTCTCACAATCAACGATGTGCAGTCTATGTAGAATGATCTTTGTTCTCCTAAAATATCACCCGGGGGGACCCCCCCCCAACGCGGACCCCTGGGATCAGTTGCCCCGGGCGCCCTTGAACGTCCTTGCAGAAGGCCCCCCGGTCTTTCCAGAGCTCCTAGAAGCCCCTGCTGGGCTTAGGCAACGGGCACGCATTGGTCACGAGGGCGGCCGAACGGCCCCCCGAAGGCCCCAACAGGCCCCTGACAACCACCAGACGCCCAAAGACGACCACAAGAAGACACCCGAGAGGTTGCTGAAACGGAAAAGCATTGATTTCCATTGGTTTTCGACGTGTGTGTTTGAGACTTTTCTGTTCTTCGGTCTTCAAGCGTCCAAGACCGTCCAGGAGGCCCGAGCATCGCCCCAAAAGCACCCGAAAAGGCTTCCAGGCAGTCCAGGAGAGCCGCAAGACGGCCGAACAGGGTCCTAATATGGCCCGAGGACAGCCCCATGACGGCCCAAGATGGCCCCACGATGCCCGCAGACGCATTCCAAACCATGACCCGTTTGTTCAGGGGAACCGCGGCTGGAAGCAGGTTGGCCCGAGGAAACCCGCAGAGGCGCCCAGACGGCGCCCAGGAAACTCCCAGAAAGCTCCAGTAGTTGTTTGTATATATATATATATATATAGATATGTGAATATATTGGGCAACAGTTGTGTGCCTTATCTCGTGCAATATCTTCGTTGCAATCTATATGGTGCAACAGTTGTGGTGTAATCGATGCGGCGTCATCTACGGTGTACAATGTATGTCGTGTGATCCTTTGTGTGCAATGTGTGTGTGTGTGGTGCAGTTCATGTTGGGCAGTCGATGGTGGACACTCTAGGTGGTGCAGTGTACATATATTTATATATATATACGCATATATATATATATACATATACATGTTGTGATCTATGTTGTGCAACTACGTGGTGCAACATATGGTGTGCAACCTATGTGGTGCGACCTATGTGCTGCAACTACCCTTTCCGAACTTGAAATTGTCAAGTCCACCTTCCGTCCAACTCATCCGCAACTTGGTTTGCAAAACTCGTGCGGCGGCGATTGCGATGACTGCTCGGCGCTGGCTGGCACATCGCCGCGGTCGCGATAGCGCGCATGCTCGCGCGCAAAGTGGCCAGGCAGTTTGGCGCGACCGACGCGGTCGCGGTGGCGCTGACCGTTGGGCACTTCCCGCGGGCACTTCAGTGCGAATCGGCGACTTGGGCGGGCGCAGTATCATGGCAACGCCGACAACGGTAGACGCGATGATGATGGCAGCGATGCTGGTGACGATAATGACATAGACGACGGCACGGCCAGTGACGGTGCCGATGCGGATCATGCCGACGACGATAGTGGCGTTTCCGCGTCGGTTTCGACGGTTTTGGTAGGTGTTCGACATGCGCGCGCGGCCGACGCGCGAGAGTGGCCCGCATGGTAATGTTTGACACGGACCGTGCCCCCCCCCTCTGACGCGGGCGTGGACGTTCGAATGATTTCGACTTGCGGCGCGAGAGGCCCGTTTGGCGGAATTTAATGAACATGCTGAAAGACAGTGGTATTCTCAAGCAATTTTGGAAGACCGCGAGTGCATTTTTATCGTTTGGAACGGATGTAGCACAACATTTGGGAGTGTTTCCGGGGCGCTCGATTTTTTATACACGTACGAAAGGTAATTTTTGAAGGGTTCGGGCGTGCGCGCGCGACGACGCGCGCGCGTGCATGTCGCTTCGTTTTTTTCCCAACCCTCCTGCGTTGGGTACTCGTTTTGAATAGAGCACTGCGGTCTCCACCTTCCTTCCTTCCCGCCTCCTCCTCCTCTCTTCCCTCTTCCTCTCCTCTCTTGCTTCCCTTCTCCGCTTCTCTTCGCTCCTCCTCTTCTCTCTTGCATCCCTTCTCCTCTCTTCGCTCCTCCTCTCTTGCTTCCCTTCTCCTCCTCTCTTCGCTCCTCCTCTTCTCTCTTGCCTTTTACGTCATCCCTTTGGGGCTGCGATCTGTGAAACTGTCGCCACTTTCGAGGGCTGCTGGTGGGTCCAGCGGAGTGAGGCACCACGCAGATTCAGATTAGACCTCGCCATCCCTGGGGGCCGCGATCTGCGAAACTGTCACCACTTTCGAGGGCTGCTGGTGGGTCCAGCGGAGTGGGGCACCACGCAGATTCAGATTAGACCTCGCCATCCCTGGGGGGCTGCGATCTGCGAAACTGTCACCACTGTCGAGGGCTGCTGGTGGGTCCAGCGGAGTGAGGCACCATGCAGATTCAGATTAGACCTCGCCATCCCTGGGGGTTTGCGATCTGCGAAACTGTCACCATTTTCGAGGGCTGCTGGTGGGTCCAGCGGAGTGAGGCACCACGCAGATTCAGATTAGACCTCGCCATCCCTGGGGGGCTGCGATCTGCGAAACTGTCGTCACTTTCGAGGGTTGCTGGTGGGTCCAGCGGGGTGAGGCACCACGCAGATTCGATTATACCTCGCCGTCCCTGGGGGGCTGCGATCTTGCGAAATTGTCGTCACTTCGAGGGCTGCTGGTGGTCCAGCGGAGTGAGGCACCACGCGATTCAGATTAGACCTCCGCCCGTCCCTGGGGGCTGCGATCTGCGAAACTGGTCCGTCACTTTCGAGGCTGCTGTGGGGTCCAGCGGAGTGAGGCACCACGCAGATTCAGATTAGACCGCGCCGATCCCTGGGGGGCTTGCGGATCGGCCAGAACTGTCCACCACTTTCGAGGGCTGGCTGGTGGGTCCAGCGGGGTGGGGAGGCACCACCGCAGATTTCAGATTAACCCTCGCCATTCCCTGGGGGGCTGCGATCTGCGAAACTGTCGCCACTTCGAGGGCTGCTGGTGGGTCCAGCGGAGTGAGGCACCACGCAGATTCAGATTAGACCTCGCCATCCCTGGGGGTCTGCGATCTGCGAAACTGTCGCCACTTTCGAGGGCTGCTGGTGGGTCCAGCGGAGTGAGGCACCACGCAGATTCAGATTAGACCTCGCCGTCCCTGGGGGGCTGCGATCTGCGAAACTGTCGCCACTTTCGAGGGCTGCTGGTGGGTCCAGCGGAGTGAGGCACCACGCAGATTCAGATTAGACCTCGCCATCCCTGGGGGGCTGCGATCTGCGAAGCTGTCGTCACTTTCGAGGGCTGCTGGTGGAGTCCAGCGGGGTGAGGCACCACGCAGATTCAGATTAGACCTCGCCATCCCTGGGGGGCTGCGATCTGCGACACTGACGCCACATTCGAGGGCTGCTGGTGGGTCCAGCGGAGTGAGGCACCACGCAGATTCAGATTAGACCTCGCCATCTTTGGGGGGCTGCGATTTGCGAAGCTGTCGCCACATTCGAGGGCTGAGGGTGGGTCCAGCGGAATGAGGCACCACGCAGATTCAGATTAGGCCTCGCCATCCCTGGGGGGCTGCGATCTGCGACACTGACGCCACATTCGAGGGCTGCTGGTTGCGAAACTGTCGCCACATTCGAGGGCTGCTGGTGGGTCCAGCGGGGTGAGGCACCACGCAGATTCAGATTAGACGTCGCCATCCCTGGGGGGCTGCGATCTGCGACACTGACGCCACATTCGAGGGCTGCTGGTGGGTCCAGCGGAGTGAGGCGCCACGCAGATTCAGATTAGACCTCGCCATCCCTGGGGGGCTGCGATTTGCCAAACTGTCACCACTTTCGAGGGCTGCTGGTGGGTCCAGCGGGGTGAGGCACCACGCAGATTCAGATTAGACCTCGCCATCCCTGGGGGGGGGGGGGCTGCGATCTGCGAAACTGCCACCACTTTCGAAGGCTGCTGGTCAGTCCCGTGCGCGCACTGCAACATGCAGAAAAGGAGGCTGAGAAGCTGGCGCGCGAGCTAGGTCTCGACCGCTTCCTGCACTAGATATAAACAGGTATGATCCTGTGGACAGGCAGCAGGCATGCGTTGACCGAGCTCCTGCAAAAACGAAGCAGTCTCTTGCTTCCTCCCTCCTCTTTCATCATCGCTTCCCTAGTCTTCCTGGTACCTTATGCATTCATGGGGCTGCTGCTGCGATGGCTCCTCGCCCCTTCCTACTGGGTTCGTCCTTCTCCTGTCCCTCGTTCCCGCCCCCGCTATTGTTTAACAAGCCTTGATACATACTCCTCGTCTTATCGATTGCTGTTCTGTGAGTCGTGCAACATTACGCATCCCATGTAGGTCGCACTACAAATCGCCGCGCCTGCACTGTCACGGTTCCTGCTAATGTTTCCCTACTCCGCTTGCCACTTGATGCCATTGGGTTGGGTACGTCGCAGGGTAATTGGCAACGGATTCTTGCGACAGCGCGCGCGCAACGGCGTTTTTGCGATTCCGACATGCGTTCGCGACAGGCCCTTGGTATGGACATGTTGAAACACAGGTGGTTTTCTTAATCTCCCGCAAGAGCCCGAACGCATTGTTGGAGGAAAATCCGAGTTGGACAACCATTTTTTGAAATGGTTTGCGAGACTTGAAATCTTTACGAACTTAAGGTTTGTTTGAAAGATTTCGGCACTCGCGCGCGACAGCCCGCGCGTGTGCGCACTTCGTCCAAGTTTTTCGCAAGGGGTTCTTGCGCACGGATGTTTTTTGATGAGCGAGTGTGCGCGCATAGATTTTGTTGCAGAGGATGGGCGATGACTGCCTGCCTGAGGTGGTGAGAGTTCCAACTTCGGATGAACGATGGGGCAGAGTCAGATAGAAATTGCAATGCGGAGAGGGGGCCGTTCAGTCAGGGGGTGGGCACAATCCCATTATTATTATTATTATTATCATTATTGTTGTTGTTGTTATTTCTATTATTATTTCCATTATTATTATTATAGGCTTGAGAAGACTTGCGGTGCCAGGTATGCGGTTCAATTTTTTGGGGCAGTCCAAGTGGCGGTGCAATCGATGCGAGGCGGCGATGGGGCGGTGACACGGGCGACGGGGTGGCGACGGCGAACACGGAGCCGACAGACCGACCGTCAGGGCCAGGCGACGGGCAGCGACGTCGCGGCGACGGGGTTGCGACGGCGGGCACATCGCCGGCATATAGGTTTTTAGCCCCAGACGGCGTGCGGCCCCGAAACGGCGACGGGGCGGGGGCGGCGGCCAAATAGCCACCAAACCGACTTTCAGGTCCAGTTTCTTAGAATAAAATATGACGCGCTACGTGCAAACACTGTGTGGGAAAACTTGTGTATATGTATACGTACATGTGCGAGTACACAGAGCGAGAGGGATGGCGGCATACATATATATATATATATATATATATATATATATATGTATGTATGTATGTATGTATGTATGTATGTATGTATGTATGTACGTATGCATGTATGTATGTATGTATGTATGTATGTATGTATGTATGTATGTATGTATGTCTGTATATATGTATGTATGTATGTATGCATGTATATATACATATGCATATATATATACATACATATATGTATATTTTCATATATATATATACACATGAAAAGGAAACATACATCGGATGGAGAGGAGGGGTAAGGACCAGGAGGAGGAGGAGGAGGAGGAGGAGGAGGAGGAGGAGGAGAAAAAGGATGAGGAATAGGACATGGTGGAGGAGGAGGTGAAGGAAGAGGAGAGGAGGAGGAGGAGCAGAAGGAAGGGGAGGAGGAAGAGGAGGAAAAGGATGAGGAACAGGAAAAGGCGGTGGAGGAGGAGGAGGAGGAGGAGGAGGAGGAGGAGGAGGAGGAGGAGGAGGGGCGAGTGTGGAGAGGGCGGGGGGGGGGAGGAGTAGGAGTGAGAAAGGAGGGGGTGGAGAAGGAGAGGGATGGGGGGGGGGAGGCGGGGGAGGGACAGGAGGGGAGGGGGATAGGAGGGATGAGGGAAGGGGCTGAGGGTTCTGGGTCTGCCTGGGGTCATCCGGCTCCTCCTCGAGGATGGGACGGGGGGTGGGCAGGATCCGACGTTCAAGCACCCTGACGAACAAAACCAGAAGGAGGTCGATTGGCTGATGAAGCATGGCGGAGGAACGGTTGAAAACTTGCCGTCGCTGCCCGTGGAGTACGAGTGGATCAAGGACCGATGGGGGAGGGAGGCGACGATGGTAGCGATCATGTTGGTGACGACTGTGGTTGTGGCGACGACGACGACAGCGGCGGTGGTGGGTTCGGCGACGGCGGAGGCGGCGGCATCGGCCACCTCGACGAGAACGGTGATGACGTTCACGGCAACGAGGGCTGCAATCGATGCTGCTCGGGCTGGTGGCGGAGAGGGCTCGCGTGCCTTCCAGTCCCCCCGTGTGGAGCGAAGAGGGCGGCGCCCCGCGCGCCGCGGCCTGGGTCGGAGAGTCGCTCCCTGCCGAGGCGGCCTCGCGAGGGCGCGGAGGCAGCCGCGCGTTGCGCGCCGCGCGGCGGCCGCCGCCGCCTGCGGCGGCGCTCGGCAGACCGGCGGCGGCGTGGAAGATCAGCGCCAGTTGGGCACGTCGTCGTCGTCGTCGTCGTCGTCGTCGCGCATCCGCTTCTCTCCCAACACTTGCCCTTGCTGCCCAGCGAGGACTGTGGCGCGCAAGGCTTGCCGTACTCGGTCTTACAGGTGGGCTGGCACTGGGTTCTGGGCCCCGACCGCATCCTTCGCGACCCATCTGGACGAGTGGTGGCGCGCCACTGCCCTGCAGGAGTTTTACCAGGTGGCCCAGTGTCTCGCAATCTCACGTGGGCGACGCAGAAAAAGGGGGCCGTCTTCGCCGACGTTGGCGCGTGAGCCGCCCGCGTCAGGTCGCGCGTGAGCGCCCTCGGTCCCAGTGTGGCGTGGCGTGCCGTGCCGTGCCGGCTGTCCGCGCGAGTCACCGCGGAAGGTCGCTGTGGCATCTCGCGTAAGAGCCCCTTTCTGGGCAGTCGAAGGCCAGCCCGTCCGATTGCATTGCCAATCTGGCATCAGTTTCCCATGCGTTCCACTCCAGCGCCGCTCCAGCGCAGCCCAATCTGTGCTGACCTTCCCATCCGAATAGCTTACCAGCCATCTCATGTCCTGCTTACGGTTAAGTCGGGCATGTCCCTCTACAGGAGGAATATTCGAAAATAGCCAAACAATCGTCAGGGGTCAATTTTTCCGTAATTTTTTCGACAATTTGTTGGCATGTTCGGATTATGTTTTATTGTGAAGGCCTGACGGCCAGTGCCGCCGACCTTTTCAGACATCGACGACGACCAGAAGGGGGGGAGGAAGAGGAGAAGGAGGAGGAGGAGGAGGCGGAGATAAGGAGGAGGAGGAGGAGGGGGAGAAGGAGGAGGAGGAGGAGGAGGAGGACAAGGAGTCCCCTCTGGGAGCCCCCCTCCCTGGGGAGGAGGACCGGAGGAGGACCGGCGTGGGAGAGGGGGCGCGATGCAAATCTGACCCCCCTCCCACCCCCCCACCCCCCCCTGGGACCCCCCCACCCCCGCCAGGGAAGGGACAAATGGGAGGGGCTTCCCTTTGACGTGACTACGACGTGGGTCGATTTCCCTCAATCCCCGGACTCCTTACCCGACGACGGGAGAGTGCTCTCTCCCTCCCGACGGGGAAGGATGAACAGAAAAGGCGTACCGTCGACGGGACCAGACAGACCCCTCACGCACGCCGACAGGGTCGGCGGATTTTTAATCCAAAATCCGCTCGTAGGGGGAGGAGGAGGAGGAGGAGGAGGAGGAGGAGGAGGAGGAGGAGGAGGAGGAGGAGGAGGAGGAGGAGGAGGAGCAGAGGAGGAGGAGGAGGAGGAGGAGGAGGAGGAGGAGGAGGAGGAGCAGAATGAGGAGGAGGAGGAAGAGGAGGAGGAGGAGGAGGTGGAGGAGGAGGTGGACATGCTCGGCCTCAGCTTCTACGGTCTGCGGCCCGCGGGCCCCCCTGCGTGCACAGTCTGCTTCGCAAGGTGCGGGCCAGCTGGCGTCCGTTGGCAGGTTGCCAGACTGGTGGTGTCGCCAGACCGTCGGCGCCACCCCATGATTGTATGATATGTGTGCGTCGTCCCCCCCCCCAGGGGCGACGCGCGCGCCGAGAAATCTTGCAGTGGATGCTGGGCAGCGGGCGCCTTCTGGCCACAGCTTCTGGGAAACGATGTGCTACGATATGGCTCTGCTGTACGTTCGGGTCGGACGCACGCCCCCCAGGGGGACACATAGCTCTAGTATGTCCTTGTGCGTCCCAGATGGGCCAGAAAAGGAAAGCTCTCTTTCCCAGGGGTGGACCTCAGAGGTCTTTTGGCGCTTTTTCGTGTGCACCTCGCTTGCGCTCTGCAGCAGAGGCGGACTGAAGACACACCGAGGGCAAGCGACCACAACACGAGCACCAGAAACACAAGGAGGGGGTGGAGGAGGAGGAGGAGGAGGAGGAGGAGGAGGAGGAGGAGGAGGGAGGAGGAGGAGGGGGAGAAGGGGGGAGCAGGAGGGGGAGGAGGAGGAGGAGGAGGAGGAGGAGGAGGAGAGGAGGAGGAGGAGAGGAGGAGGAGGAGGAGGGTGGAAGAGGAGGCGGAGGAGGAGGAGGAGGCGGAGGAGGAGGAGGAGGAGGAGGAGGAGGAGGAGGAGGAGGCGATCCTGCCTTGGTGCGCCGCCCGTGGTTCTCGTCGCTCGCGCCGGGACGGCACGAGGGCCCGCCCCCTGCGGAGAGAGCTCCTCTGCGCGGGGCGGCCCCGTGCCGGCCGGCCCGGCCGGCCTCCGGTGGACCCATGGGCGGTGCCTTGGCGATGTCTCGGGCCGGCGCCAGCGGGTCCCCTCGGGTTCGGAGCTTAAGAGACGGGGGTCAATGCAGACGGGGGTCAGCCAGGGCACCGGATCCTGCAGGATCCTGCGGAGACCCCCTCTGGCTGACCCGGGTTAGCGAGCCGCTCGTGGCCGCGAGGCGGCCGCGCATATTGGCTGACCCGGGTTTGCGAAGCCCTGCGTTGCAGTTTTTTGGTTTCCTGCATTGCAGTTTTTTGTTTCCTGCTGACCCGGGTCTGACTGACCCGGGTTAGGAGACCCCCGACGGGTCAAGCAGTGGCGAAGCGTCCCAGCGTGCCTAGGAGTCCTACCAAACAATCGGGTGTTGCCAGAAGTACCCCTGGCCCAAGGTACCCCCAGGATTCTCGGGTTGGCCCAGACGGCCTCCGGGGCACCCCTCACGAGGCCCAGGGGGCCCCGGGGGCTTCAAAATGGAGCGAAAAGCTGGGGGCACCTTGGGCCAGGGGCACTTCTAGCAACACCCGAAACACTGTTCTAAGAACCTTGTGTGGTTCCCACGAACATGGTCTCAGAGCATTTCTGGTTGGGACTGCCTGGTTTTGTCCCATCAGGTTTCTGTTGTAAGGACCTTGTTTGTGAGATTCGGACATGTTTGGGTTCTAAGAAAAGTTCGTGGTAGGACTATAGGAATGCCAGGACGGTCGGTCTCTGCTCAACCCTTGGGCCGCGACTCCGCGGATCTGCGGGGCGGCTTTCGTCGCGGAGGGCCCGCGCGGAGCGTGTCTCTGCGACCGCGCATCCGCGGGATCCGCGCCCCGGAGTGCAGACTGCGAGGACTCGGATGCGGATACAGTGCGTCGACAAAATGTTGCACCGCCTGGTGCCCGCGACATCACAGTCGACCCGCATGGGAAGGAGGGAATCTTCCCAAGGGTACCCTTGCATCCGTCCCTCCTCGGTCCATCCTTGGCCACGTTCGTTGGCCGTGCCCCGCCCGAAACGCTTCGAGATTGGCGTCCAAGGCCCTTGCATCCTTGTCGCGCATCCTTATGATACGGGCCGATTGTAGACGTCGTTGTGCAATCGATGTTTCGTGCTCGCTCCCCCCCTTCCGATGAGGGTGAGAAGGGTTTTGACGCAGGCGTGCAGAGAACCATGCCAAGTGCTACAACATTCTGTCGATGTACAGTATGTGCCCAGACATGCGACGTCCTGATGTTTTCAATGCGGGGTCCCTGGAAGTCCCGACCCTTTCTCCGGGACCCGTTTTTCATCCTGAGTTGTCCGTTGACGGTCCCGAGGCCCCGCGAGGGCCCCCTGAGGCCGAAATTGGCCCAACACCTCCCGTCCCCATTTTTTCACGACGCGATCATGTCTGGAATGGTAGCACGATGGCTGTAAAACGTCGGCGCGGCCGTTCAAGATCGATCGAAGGCCCTCTCCCGGCAGCCGAGGAGGAGGAGGAGGAGGAGGAGGAGGAGGAGGAGGAGGATGAGGATGAGGAGGTGGGGGGAGGAGGAGGGGTGAGGATAAGAGGAGCAAGGAGGAGCAGGAGGAGGAGGAGGAGGAGGAGGAGGAGGGGGAGGAGGAGGAGAGGAGAGAGGAGGAGGAGGAGGAGGATGCGATCATGTCTGGGTGCGCCGCTCGTGATTTTCGTCGCTCGCGCCTGGACGGCACGATGGCCCGCTCTGCGGAGAGCTCCTCTGCAGAGCGGCCTGCCCAGCTGGCGCGCCAGCCCTGCCGGGGCCAGCCGCGTCCGTTTCTGCCCGGCGCAGGCAGCCCGGCTGCCCCCAGGGGGGGGTTGCTTTGGTCTGCCCCTTCCCCTTCGAGGAGGAGGAGGAGGAGGAGGAGGAGGAGGAGGAGGAGGAGGAGGAGGGAGGAGGAGGAGGAGGAGGAGGAGGAGGAAGAGGAGGAGGAGGAGGAGGAGGAGGAGGAGAGGAGGAGGAGGAGGAGGACTGAGGAGAGGACTGAGGAGGAGGAGGAGGAGGAGGAGGAGGAGGAGGAGGAGGAGGATGCGACATGTCTGGGTGCGCCGCTCCTGATTTTCGTCGCTCGCGCCTGGACGGCACAATGGCCCGCTCTGCGGAGAGCTCCTCTGCGGGGCGGCCTGCCCAGCTGGCGCGCCGGCCCTGCCGGGGCCGGCCGCGCCCGTTTCTGCCCGGCAGAGGCAGCCCCCGGTGTGTGTGTGTGTGTGTGTGTGTGTGTGCCTTGGCCTGCCCCTTCCCGTCGAGGAGGAGGGAGGAGGAGGAGGAGGATGAGGAGGAGGAGGAGGAGGAGGAGGAGGGTGGGGGAGGGGGGGAGGAGGAGGAGGAGGAGGAGGAGGAGGAGGAGGAGGAGGAGGAGGAGGAGGAGGAGGAGGAGGAGGAGGAGGAGGGGGAGGGGGAGGGGAGGGGAGGGGGGGGGGGAGGGGAGGGGGAGGGGAGGGGGAGGGGGAGGAGGGAGGAGGAGGAGGAGGGGAGCAGGAGCAGGAGCAGGAGCAGGAGCAGGAGGGAGCAGGAGCAGGAGCAGGAGGGAGGAGGAGGAGGAGGAGAGGAGGCGGAGGAGGAGGCAGGAGGAGGAGGAGGAGGAGAGGAGGAGGAGAGGAGGGGGAGGAGAGGGGGAGAGAGGAGGAGGAGGAGGAGGAGGAGGAGGGGGAGGAGGAGGAGGGTGGGGAGGAGGAGGAGGAGAGGAGGAGGAGGAGGAGGAGGAGGAGGAGGAGTAGGACTCAGGAGACTGAGGAGGAGGAGGAGGATGAGGAGGAGGAGGGAGGAGGAGGAGGGAGGAGGGAGGAGAGGGGAGGAGGAGGAGGAGGAGGAGGAGGAGGAGGAGGGAGGAGGAGGAGGAGGAGGAGGCGGAGGAGGAGGATGAGGAGGAGGGGAAGAAGGAGGAGGAGGAGGAGGAGGGGGAGGAGGAGGAGGAGGAGGAGGTGGAGGAGGAGCCCAGGGCGCGCCGCGCCGCTGGCAGTGGCCCATTGGGCCGAGAGGCCCCGCCCCAACGGTGCCCGACAACTTTTGATCTCCTGGCGGCACGCAGGGTGGGGAGTAGGGGGAGGTGTGAAGGCTTCTTAGGAGGAGGAGGAGGAGAAAAAGGTGGAGGAGGCGGAGGAGGAGGAGGAGCAGGGGGAGGAGGATGAGGAGGAGGAGGAGGAGGAGGATGAGGAGGAGGAGGGCAGGGGGAGGGGGGGAGGCTTCTTAGGACGCGACTGCTTCTTGGAAGGCGCGGGCGGGATCGACCTTAGAGAACTGATTTGCGCCAGAACTGATTTGTTCGTCGCCTTTATGGGGAATGCGTGGGATATTCTTAGATCTATGATTAAGTCGGGCATGTCCCTCTACAGGAGGAATATGCAAATCGTCAAAACATAGACTGGGGACGATGTATTATCATTATTGGGTTATCTGTTTGAGCATTTCTTTGGGCTATTCTCATTTTTCTCCCAAATCCGCCTGTAGAGGGACACGCCCGACCAAACTCTAGGAACATTCTACGTCTGACTCGACGGGACGATCAATCCTGGGATCAACAATTCTGTAGACGATCTCCTACTCGATCCCTCGCCGCGGCCCTTGCCCCCCCCATTCTGGGGAAAAAAACGGAGAGACATAAAGCATCGTCGATCCCCGGGGCGAACAGATGTGGAAACAACTGGGAAGTGGGGGGGACGAGACGAGGACATCCAGAAGATCTGGAAAGTATGTGTGTGTGTTTGTGTCGGTAGGGGGTCGTCCTTGGACGAGTGCTTACTTTCAAGTCGGCATGTCCCTCTACATGAGGAGTATTCAAGAATGGTATAACAATAGTCTGGCGACGATTTTCCGTGCTCTTTGGACTTTGCTCGTTTTCTTTATTTTATGTTTCTTCCAAGGCCGGCTTGGAGGAGGGCATGCCCGACCCAAGCCTATTCGTTGGTGTGTCCCTGGGTCCCTTCATTCCAGGGGGGAGAAGGCCTCAAACGCTAGGCCCTGGGCCCTAAGCCTAGGGCTCAGGGCGTTGCAGGAGAACGCCACCCCGACCCCGAGCATTGGCGTTGGCTGCGCGGCCCCAGGCGTTTACCGCCCCGCCCCGCCCTGCTTGCTTCCTGCCCTGCCCAGGGGCCTGCCCGGGGGCCTGCCCGGGGGCCTGCCCCAGGCCTTTCCCCTTCCGTCGTCAGCTCGGCCACGCGCAGAGGGGTGCAGCGGCTTCAGGTCGGGCATGCCCCTTCACAGGAGGAGGACTCAAGCACATATTAAAAGTAGTCAGATGGCAACTTTTCCTGGACCTTTTACCCAAGAGTAGATACACATAGTCTTTGACTATCATTGATGATTCTTGGACCCTTTGTTTCAGATTCTTTCAAACTCCGCCTGTAGGAGAACATGCCCGACCTAGGGCAGCGGGAGATGGGAATGCTTCTTGGAAGCACTCCCTGCTTCTTAGACTGCGCGGGCGGGGTTTGTCGATAGATGCAGGGCCAACGCCTTCTAAGAAGCGGCCTCCTGCTGAGAAGCCTTCCCTCCTCCCCCTGTCCCCCTTTGCGCGCCGCCGATGCGTGCACCGTGTCACGTTTGCGTGTCCCGAGGCGTCTTCGATCCTTGGCCCTGATGCGCAGGGCTCA